AATCAGGGTGTCGTCTGCGTATGCCTGTATTCTTAATTCCTCCGTGTCCTCTTGTTACTCTAGGAGTTCGTCCAAGATCAAATTCCAAACACCCGGTCCGCATCTGGACCCTTGCGGGCACCCTCTTGTTACTTCTACTTCCACTTTGATGATGATGGTATAAAAGCCTGTCGTTCTTTTAGATAAATAATTTTTCATTAGATTTGTTATGTTGCTCGGACATTTTGTTTTTATTAGCCGGTTTATTACACTCGACCATCATAAATTATCAAAAGCCTTTCTGAAATCAATCCTAATGAGCATGACATGTCGACCTTGTTCCCATGATTTATGTATAGAGTCTGTAACTTTTAAGATTGCATGAATTGTTGAAGTCCCAGGTTTAAACCTGTATTGTTTGTAGCTGCCTTTCTTGGTCGTATTTAGGTGCCAATTAATTCTTTTAATGATCAACCCGTCCAGCACCTTCCCCAAGACAGGGAGAAGGCTAATTGGGCAGAAGTCTTCGGGTTTGCTGGCATTCTGTGTTTTTGGAATCAATTTGATATTTGCTTTTTTCCATGCAGCTGGAAAGAATCCTGTCCTCAGACATTCCTTGTATAGGTGTACAATTGCCATGGGTATTGCTTTAAATGCATTTTTTACTGTTTCCACAGTTAGATTGTCCAAGCCTGGAGATTTTCTATTTGCTGTTGATAGTATGGCTTCTTGCACCTCTTGAAAAGTAAAATGGCCGTCCTGTATTTGCATAAATTGATGTTATGTTGCATTCCTCATTTCTTTATGTAAGTCCAAGTCTTTGATTTTGTCATCGATAGGAAAGTGGAATTGTAAAATTCTTCTGGTGTTTTCTATAATATCCAATTCCGGGTTATTCCCATTTCCTCCGATCAAATTGGGAACCTGACATTTCCTCTTTTTGTTGAAAATTACTCGATATGGCACGCTCCATGGATTCCTCCTCAGTTCTTTTCCACAGAAATCCTGCCAGGCCTTTGTATGCGTGCTATTTATGGCTTTTTTGTATTCTTTTAGAGCCTTCCTGTATTCCTCCTTGTGATTATTTCTAAGTTTGTCATCTCTGGCTCTGGTCATTTTCTTCCTCAACTTTCGGACGTTTTTCTGCTGTTCAGATAAATTATTTGTCCACCAGATTGATCAAAACAGACATAAAAAGAACATTCTTGTTGATAGCCTTTCCGCTTCCTGGATTGCTTTTGTGATATGTTCTGTATATTCATTCATGTATTCTTCATTTTCAATATCGTGAAATCTGTATCTTTGCCAACGGTCAGCAAAGTATTTGGCAAACAGGTCCCAGTTTGTTTTCCTCGTATATCTGTAGTTCTCCGTTTTTTGGTCAGTTCTTGTCATTTCAGCATAAATGAACCTATGGTCGCTCGCCGACTCCTGAAGGAGTGTCTTGCTGGTAATGATGTTGCCACTTATGCCAATTGGGGCAAGGAAGACATCAGTCCATCCTTTGGCGTATGCCATGAAGAAAGTTGGGTAGTTTGATGTGCTAGCGGAAAACAAGTCATAGCTATCCATCAAGTTATTTATTAACCGGCCCCTATTGTCCTCTCTTGGGTGGAATCAATTAGGAGACTTGGCATTCACATCACCCACCAAAATATAGTTATTGCTATTGAGCTGTTCAATCACCTTTTCCAATTCCGCAATACAGCTTTCATCCTCGTCCTCTGGTGTAAAATATAAACTTAGAATGTAGAGTCGTGGGTTTTGATATACAGCCACCGTTGTTATCCGTTGTGTTGTGAGATGTGGTATTGCTGCTATATCCAGATTCGTGTCCCTCACTATGATCCCACATTTTGGCTTCTCACTATTTCCCGTAGTCATTATCTTCCATTTGCCATAACCCACTATTTTATTCCTAATAGTGTGTGGTTCCTGAACTATGATTAAGTTTATATCCATTTTGTTCGCAATTTTGACCGTCATGGAGCTCGCTGCCTTGCACCTTTGGGTGTTGATCTGTAATATCCGAATGTGTGTTGTTTCTGTGTTATTTCCGTTGTTCATCTGAGTTAGGACTGTTGTTTATTCTAGAATTCATAGTTGGTCTTGGGTTTACAAAATTTTCCAAGTGATTGACTATTCTATGTTCAATTTCTAATCCATCCAGGTTGTTTATGTAGTTATGTCTTTTTCATTCATCAGTTAATACGAGACTTCCAAATTTTACAAATTTAGATATCATGCAATTTAGCACGTTTTCAGATCTATCATTTACTTGACAAATAAAACAATTATCTTCTTGCCTACATATCCCTCCTACCCATTTTGTATTTTTAAGTTTCTGCCCTTTTTCATATTTACATTTACATATTATTGTCTCATCTATTTTGACAGTTTTATTTAGACCTCCAATTTTAAATGAGGTCATATTGTGCAAAAGCAATAAGCATTACTAAATGTATATGGTTGGACCAATCTATAGCAGCCCTTTTAGAAATAAATACCTGTAGCAATAGCTGAATTTGTTGAAGTGCATTTTAAACACAGCAAGTGGCATATAAATGACAATATTTCAGTCCAAGAAATATTACGACATTTGCCCTTAAATGTTCCATCAAAAGCCAAAAAATTACGTTTGCAATTGTTACAGCATAACATACATGAATTTCTGTCAGTTTGGAAGACTATTTTATGCCGTTTTTAACACATATTGCACACATCCTCTATATGTTGTAATCCTAAACTCGCTGCAAATTTAAAATCACTACTAATCCTTTGATCCAAATCTAAATCCGTATAATCTGATTCTAGTCGTTGGAAAACTTTCTGGTGGTGCATCCTGACCAAAATACATCTGAATTAATATTGACACAATTCATTATTAGCTTAATACTATCAGCAAAACCTTTTAAATTACCAATAAATGTAGCTTTTTGATAACAAGCACTGAGTTCAGCGTTAACACGATTTTCTTATATCGCAAGTACTTTCAACGAGTGTTATATCGTTGTCCTCAGGCAAAAAAGAACAAATTTGAAAAAATAGAACATGCAGAGTGTTCCAAGTAGAAAATGGAAAATTTTCTTCTCAATTTTTAAATTATAATGATCGGTAATTCCATTGGTAACATGCAACAAGCTATTGTGGGCGTTCGAAAGATCTTAAATCCACACGACTAGCAGCGCATACATTGAGGAGTGATCATACTAATTGTGCAACTCTTCGTGCATTTTGTTGTTTAAACACTGGTATAAAGTAACCCATATTTCGGGCAAGTCGAGGGTAGGGATGAAAAAGCTATATAATTTTGGCATGAGTTTTATTTATTTAACTATTTCTATACCAATAAATGTATTATTTAACAAAATATTACTTGACTAATCCAGGAATTACAAAAAAACACTTCCATAAAGCATACACTAGTCTGAGGCCAAAACTTCAATAACCACATCATAATAAAAAATTTGCATATTCACACATCAAAACAAATCACGGTCATATTTATAAATTTACATATATCAGAACACGTCATTATGCAGCTCCCTCTATTAACATTATCACTAAACGAACCAATTCAAGATTATCAGAAGTGCTGCCATTTTAGTCACCAGAGATAACATTAACCAGATTACTATTTAAACACATGCAGGGATGTTGCCAGAAATTTGTGTGGTCACCCATGTGGCTGATTGTTTGCATAGACTTGGCATAGGTGAGTAGGTACCGTAAGAACACAACAGCCCACAATCACTTATAACACATTACTGTGTAAGGAGCTGCCATACCAATATGTTAAAGGTTGAACAAGAACAAGCATTGAATTTTATTCATCTTTGCCTTGTGGCTGTTCATGTAGCATAGTGTTTGAGTCTGATGACCACTGGATTAAACAGAAAATAGGTGAAACTGCTTGTGACATTTTTTTTAATGCTGGTTACTTTTAAACTTGAGTGGAATGGCAATGGTGGACAGCAGAGAGTGAGGGGAATAAGAGCATTAGTGTGGGAAATGCTGCTCCTTGTTGCCCATGTGGCTAGATCCCCAAAATTTATTGATAACTAGAAAGGATTCACATACATAATTAGTGGTTTCCGACTTTTTCATTTGTAGAGTGTATAGTGTTAAATGAATATTTAAAGTTTATTTATTTTATATATAAATGTATAAAACAATAACAAAATATATATAACTTTTTTTTAATGGTTTGAAATTTTTTATTATTATGTTAATCAATTTATTTATTTTACAATTATTTACAACAAATTTATGTAAAATATGCTTAACTGTTTTTAATGTAAGAAGTATTTAAATGATATAAAACAGAAGTGTTCTTACATATTATAGGTAAATTTGGCAATTTAGAAAAAAATTTTTTTGACAATAATACTTTGAAAATGTAGCTAAATGTAATAAACTTGAAAAAAATTAGAAATTTTGTAATAATATTTATTGAAGTATTTACACTTTTTAAAAACTCATTTATTTGAACTGTATTTGAACCCAAAAATGTTAATAATTTATTCAAATTTAAATAAAAATGCAACAATGTTTAAATTTTTAAAATTAATATTGAAATGTTTGCTATATTTGATGTCAAATCTGCACTTACACAGTTTGTCCTAAAAGTAGCAAGATTAATTCTATAGTTTGCAGAGAAGGTCCTACTTTGAAGCAAAACACATACCACACACAAAATTTTATATAGTTGTAATCTCATTACATTTAGGACAAACTCTGTATGAATTATTACAATATGTCTGTGATTCTATATAATATTTTGTTTTAGATATATGTGCAGTATTAAGTAAAACTAACACTTAAATGAAAATCCAGAATTTTAGAAGTAAATGAACTTATCTGAATTGGAATCTGATCCTGTCAAATCAAGATGAATGAGTTTGATATAAAATTTTGTGCTAAATGTTTTATAGAGTATAATAAAAGTATTATACTAGTAATTAAATAGTAAAAAGGACACAAATAAGTTTGATATAAAAATGTGTTACAAATTTTTTTAGATTATTTGAAGTTAGAGGAAGATTATATGAAGTTCTTGCTCATTTAATTCCTCCTGACATCATTTTTAAAGTAAGTCCTGTATATATAATTATAGATTTATTACTGTAAAAAGTTCTAAATGAAACTTTTAATAAGTTCTTTCTTTCTTTCTTTTTATTCAGAATTTGTTGAAAGCTTTGATTTCAAATTGTGATGGTCAACTGAAAGCAGAAGTGATAAAATTAGCTGCTTATTATGAACATAGAATGGAACTCGGCAGTAAAGCCATTTATCATCTCGAAGCTTTCGTTGCAAAATTTATGGCTATTTATAAAAAATTTCTAGAAGACAGCATGGCTGATTATTTTTGAAAAAAAAATAAGTTTAAAAATTTTAATGAAGATATAAAATATATATATATATAAATATAAATAAACATGAAAAATCAAATTAAGTTGTATGTTCGAATATAGAAATATAATTTTCCTTAAAACAACCAAGAGTTATAATAATAGAAATTGTTGCCAGCATAGAGGAAAAAAAACTTTAGTGTGAAGAATTTTAAATTATGGATATCCTTACTTTATCAGTAACCATAAAGAACCTAGAAACAGAAATCTTTCATTTGAACATTAATCAATGTTTTGTTTTAGCAAGTTTTAACTTAGCATCTTGAAAAAAAGATTTTTTACTTTGTTAATTCATTGCTTTATTGAATAATTCAACAAGTGGACAGATGATAAAATACAGACATATAGTGAGGTGAGAAGCAGAGGATTCTAATAGAATAAAAATATTCTCCAGTGTATATATATTACAAAAAATTTGGCACCATAGCAATAAGTTTTGTTATGTTTGAAAAAAATTAAATTTTTAAGATTAAGATTACAATACCAATCTGATATTTATTCTGTTTCTTTTCCATTACAGTAGATAAATGATCCTAAAAAGCATATATTACAATATTTACAGTATTTTTTACCATTAAAACATGGTAAAGATTCAAATTACGCTTAATAGAGTAGGAGTCGATGTCCAATGAGGCAATTCTTTTTCTGCATCAAAACCGCAATTTACTTCGGAGTCTATCCAGAAATTTGATTTTCTGGGAACTTTTTTCCAGAATGCTTGAGAATTGTCTTTGAAGCAATCTGCTACATCCATGAGAAAATTTGATTCTACGGGAGAACCTATTCGACTTAATTCCGGTGATGATGATGATACGTGGATGTTATGGCATTCATAATTCTCTCTTTTAATATCTGAAAAATAGAAATTATGTTTAAAAATTACTTCCTTTAGTTAAATAATTTATATAAATGTTTGTGATTGATTAGCACTTTTATATTTTAAAAAATTAATTATATTTTAACAGGAAAATCTTTGATTAGATGACAACTTTTCAATCTTATTGATAGTTAAACCAGCCGTAATCCATTAAAATAGTATATATATTTAATGAGTGAGTCTTAAGTTCTGTCAATTTGGCAACTGCTTTTAAAACATCAACACATAGACAACCCTTAACTGGTTTGTAAGTGCAGGTGCAGGGCTCTTGTGACCTGTTTGATATTATTACATAAGACTGCATGCATTGTTTTAGTTGTTTCTTATAACTAAGTGTCAACTATACTGAACCATTGTGGATGGCTGTTTTAAATTGTATTGTCATATGTCAAAAATAATTTCATTATCCACAATGGCAGGAAAAAATACAAACAAAAAAAAAACATCTGAAGGAAATAGAGCATTTTGTGCCAAATAAAATGTGATTTGGCAACTTGTTTGAAAAAGTGTTATTTTTTTTAATATTACATTTTTATTATACCACGGATCATTTAATGACATTTTACTTTTCTGGACCTGTTTTATATATAGCAGAGGGAAAGTATGGCAATTGGTCAAAAAACGACCCCTCCAAGATTTATACATTTTTGGACTTGGGACCTTGAAACATCAAGAAATACAAAAAAAATTTGGGTTGTTTTTTCTGTGTGTGTATGTGTGGAGGGGAGCATAATTTTGTTCACCCTCTTTGAAGCTTAATGACTCCTGTGCTTTTGTCAAAAATTTCTGAAATTTTACAGGGAGGTTTGTGTATTAGGGGGATTGATGCTGTTAAATTTTGGTAGTTAAAAGTGATGGGATGGGGAAATAAAGAGTGGTCAGGTTGTTTGTCAGACTTAATGACGATTTTACTTGTTATTAGCATTTATAATTTTTTTATAAAACCCATCCCTACTCTCAAAATAATAAAATATAAAATTGCAAAAAGTTTATTAATTAAAAATATGATATAAAAAATTTTTTAACAGATGGTGCCCCCCACAGTTTTAAATATTGTGGGAAAGTTAAGCAACTTGCTGGATATTTTTCCTTAGGGGTTTTTAATAAGATGTGAAAAATGAACTTTGTTGTTGTTGCAATGACTTCTTAAAGTGTTGTTTCAGTAGCATTATCACACAATGCAGCAGTGACAAGATCATCATATGAAACTTTCTATGCAAATATTTTAGTTTGGCTTTTGATTCTGGCATTGACATTTCAGCCATATCAGAATTTTCTGTTTTCATTAGATACTGTACTGAACAGAATTTGATTCATGAAGTATTTTTGAAACTTTTCCCTACAAAGAATCAAACCAGAGGCAGAGAGTATCTCACTATTATTAGTACTTTTTGGGAGAATAATAATAATATAAAAGGACTTGTTTTCCTATTGAAAAAGATTTGTTAGAAACAGTTTATCATTTCACTATCATTCACTAAGAAACTTGGCATCATGTATTTCCATAAAATAAAATTTTACAAAGTAGACACTGTGATGAAAACAAACAGTCATAAATATAGTAAATTATATCAGATCATGAGAACTGAACCACAGAAAAATCAAAAAGTCTCTCAGAAGAAATGAACAGTAATTATAACAACATTCTTTTATGATGACAGTCATTGCAGTGGAAAAATTCTAGATAAATTGTTTTTCTTTATGACAAGAAATTTATTGGTTTGTTGCAAAAATAAAATAAGTTCTCTTTGTGGTTTACGTGAAAATACAATTATTTCACAAAATGCAAATAAAGTATTTGCTTCTGAAGAGAAACTAAGCATCTATTACAAGGAAATACAAAAATCAAATACTTTATACCATATTTTCACAGAATGACCAGCATGCCAACCTGTTCAGGGGAGACCATGAAATCAGATATTTCCATATGGTAAAAACCGGCATGCTCGTTTAAGTGAGGTTATACATCTCTCTCTACAGGGTGCATTAACATATTGAGAGTAGAATGTAGGAATTATAAACTTGATTTGTCTAAAATAGTCAAAAGTTTGTCTCAATATCAAATATTGCACTAATTTTTAAATAAAACCTAACTGTAATCAAGCATTTGAATTTTATTTCTTAAATTATTGATTCACAGTATACTATGTTGCAGCCCATATAATGCTGCAAACATACATGGCCTGAGAAAAAGAAAACAAAAAAAAGTTGAGTATGAATTAAAAACTACGAGTAAAATAACAGTTTTATTTCAATGTATTCTTGAAAAACAAACTTTGAGTTAGTGAAAATCAAGTTCATTATATTTTCCCCTCTTTCTTTCTCATAACATACAGGATGTAAATAGAATGGCTTTACAAATCAGGAGCAGATTCAGTGATTCAAAATGATATTTCCAGCCATCAGTGTAATATGCAACACTCTTGCTCACATGACATATTTGCTAAGTTTTACTTAGTGCTATTATTTATATGGCATTATGACATGTCACAGATGCACATCTGTAGGGAGAATAAGCATTCAGCAATAAATATCCCAATGTATGTTGATGTGTAATGCCCTGTGCAATATTTCAGCTGGTGACTTACATAATGCGCACCTTTTGATATTCTGCTGAACTCTTTGGAAGATATCTGGAAGTTCTCTGACATGCATAGCTACTGTGACTATTCTTCCTAAAAGATCTGACTGCACTGCAATTTCACACCAAGTAAAATTTTGTACGAGTGGTAGATGGCTGCAACATGTTTCCAGTCATGAGAGTAATAAGTAAATATCATATGCTTATTATACTCATGACTGGAAACATGTTGCAGCCATCTACCACTCGTACAAAATTTTACTTGGTGTGAAATTGCAGTGCAGTCAGATCTTTTAGGAAGAATAGTCACAGTAGCTATGCATGTCAGAGAACTTCCAGATATCTTCCAAAGAGTTCAGCAGAATATCAAGAGGTGCACATTATGTAATATTCACCAGCTTCCACTTTGACAAACACCTGCAATATTGTAAGAGCAAGAAAACTTCAAATATATTTGTTAAATAAAATAATAATTAATTCTGATTATTTAAATGTATTGGTTTTTTTTTATTAAATTATTTTTTTATCATCTTTGGCAGTTTAATAACTGCTGGATGGCAGATTAATTGGCTTGATTTCAAAGAATGGTCTTCACACAATGCTAGCTGATTCATAAATATTAGTTTAGTATAGCTAGTTTACTAAATAAATTAATTAATATAGCTAGTTATATTTATTTATTTAGTAAACTAGCTATACTAAACTAATATTTATGAATCAGTTAGCATTGTGTGAAGACCATTCTTTGAAATCAAGCCAATTAATCTGCCATCCAGCAGTTATTAAACTGCCAAAGATGATAAAAAAATAATTTAATAAAAAAAAACCAATACATTTAAATAATCAGAATTAATTATTATTTTATTTAACAAATATATTTGAAGTTTTCTTGCTCTTACAATATTGCAGGTGTTTGTCAAAGTGGAAGCTGGTGAATATTACATAATGTGCACCTCTTGATATTCTGCTGAACTCTTTGGAAGATATCTGGAAGTTCTCTGACATGCATAGCTACTGTGACTATTCTTCCTAAAAGATCTGACTGCACTGCAATTTCACACCAAGTAAAATTTTGTACGAGTGGTAGATGGCTGCAACATGTTTCCAGTCATGAGTATAATAAGCATATGATATTTACTTATTACTCTCATGACTGGAAACATGTTGCAGCCATCTACCACTCGTACAAAATTTTACTTGGTGTGAAATTGCAGTGCAGTCAGATCTTTTAGGAAGAATAGTCACAGTAGCTATGCATGTCAGAGAACTTCCAGATATCTTCCAAAGAGTTCAGCAGAATATCAAAAGGTGCGCATTATGTAAGTCACCAGCTGAAATATTGCACAGGGCATTACACATCAACATACATTGGGATATTTATTGCTGAATGCTTATTCTCCCTACAGATGTGCATCTGTGACATGTCATAATGCCATATAAATAATAGCACTAAGTAAAACTTAGCAAATATGTCATGTGAGCAAGAGTGTTGCATATTACACTGATGGCTGGAAATATCATTTTGAATCACTGAATCTGCTCCTGATTTGTAAAGCCATTCTATTTACATCCTGTATGTTATGAGAAAGAAAGAGGGGAAAATATAATGAACTTGATTTTCACTAACTCAAAGTTTGTTTTTCAAGAATACATTGAAATAAAACTGTTATTTTACTCGTAGTTTTTAATTCATACTCAACTTTTTTTTGTTTTCTTTTTCTCAGGCCATGTATGTTTGCAGCATTATATGGGCTGCAACATAGTATACTGTGAATCAATAATTTAAGAAATAAAATTCAAATGCTTGATTACAGTTAGGTTTTATTTAAAAATTAGTGCAATATTTGATATTGAGACAAACTTTTGACTATTTTAGACAAATCAAGTTTATAATTCCTACATTCTACTCTCAATATGTTAATGCACCCTGTAGAGAGAGATGTATAACCTCACTTAAACGAGCATGCCGGTTTTTACCATATGGAAATATCTGATTTCATGGTCTCCCCTGAACAGGTTGGCATGCTGGTCATTCTGTGAAAATATGGTATAAAGTATTTGATTTTTGTATTTCCTTGTAATAGATGCTTAGTTTCTCTTCAGAAGCAAATACTTTATTTGCATTTTGTGAAATAATTGTATTTTCACGTAAACCACAAAGAGAACTTATTTTATTTTTGCAACAAACCAATAAATTTCTTGTCATAAAGAAAAACAATTTATCTAGAATTTTTCCACTGCAATGACTGTCATCATAAAAGAATGTTGTTATAATTACTGTTCATTTCTTCTGAGAGACTTTTTGATTTTTCTGTGGTTCAGTTCTCATGATCTGATATAATTTACTATATTTATGACTGTTTGTTTTCATCACAGTGTCTACTTTGTAAAATT